CCCCCCCCCCCCCCCCCCCCCCCACCCCCCCCCCCCCCCCCCCACCCCCCCTCTCTTTTGTTCAGGTGGCAGGCACTACCGCTACCGATCCGGATGGGTCGGGTGTGCTATGCATTGGAGACGTTGGTGGCCAGACGCAGTACATCTTCCACATCATCTCCCTAGCTCTCAAAGAGGTAATATGTGGCATTTGCTTGTGTACGGCGTGTGTTGCTTGTGTACCCTAGGCTCTTACTCACCCCTCTGTTGCTACTGTTGTGCTTGTGGGTACCGACTCACTGATTGGCACGACCTTGCTTTGCTGTGGTGGCGAGCAATACGTTACCTTTCTTGGTTACAAATCATCGCATGGGTCACGGGACACGATGATCTCAGTCATTTTTGAAGCGTGACGACGTGTTGTTTACCCCCCTCCCCGCCCCCACCGGAACGGTTGGCCATCGGTGACCGGCCCAACCTGTGGGAACAATGCTCCGTCTCGAGGACGCGTGGCGTGCAAAACATGAGTGCCCCCCCCCCCACCTATTATTCATTTAATCTTTTCTCTGAAATTGCAGGGAATTGATTCCTCTCTCGGCGAACCACAGGCCGCCATTTCTTGTTTCACATGGAAATTGACTGGCGGGTTTCCTCTCTCGGCACACCATAGGCCGGCATTTCCAGGTCCGCCCTCTCGTTCTTTGCTTCCCCTGTCACTTCAAGTGCAATCGACCGAGGCCGTTGCTGCTGGCTTTGGTCCCTCTGCACCCAAGTTTTTTCGGGCTCTGCACTCTCAGTCAGTGCTCCAATCCGTCATTGCTGTAATCGGTCAGTCCTCTCGTTTGGCGAAGCATTCTGCACCTCGATCACTCTTTCCCTCTATCTTGGTTTGCACTCATCGATCAGCAGTCATCCTCGCATGGTCCGCAATCAACCATCATCCGTGCTGTCATCCACGCACGTCATCCACGCGTTTCTACTGAAACGCGAGTAGAAGTTACCCCATCCGCGTTCTGTGTCCCTCTCTTTCCGTGTCCCTCTCTTTCTCTCTTTCTCTCTCTCTATCTCGTTCTCTCTCTGCTCTCTCTGTCAAAAAATTTCTCTCTCATGTGTTACAGCAGTAGTCACCTCAGTCGCTCGGTGACAATCTTCTGCAATCATACATATCTCAGTGGAATCCATCTGTTTGTACGCACGCATGGCGGGGTTCCTCTCTCGGCGCACCACAGGCCATAATTTATTTCGAGGTCCGCCCGTCCTCTGCCCTCTCCCTCAAACCGACCGCTCTGTCCCCGTTGCCGCTGTCTTCGGCCCCTCTACACCTATTACGGAGGAACATAGTATTCAGGTCCTTGGCAGTTGGTTGAGCGATACTAAAGTTGGAGGTGGAATAGTTTTTTGTGGTGGTTGCACAAAAGTACCTGCAGTAGGCTCGTGCGTCTGTTACAGAAGAACGGGGGGCGGTCCATCATCACCAGCTAGAGAGGGGGGTGGTATCCATCATCATTCGCTAGAGGGGGGGGTGGTGTCCATCACCAGCTAGCGAGGGGGGTGGT